CATACAGACACTGTCGCTAATTGGCACACGTGCTTGCACCATTCAGGTACGGGCCCTGTCGTTTGCTGACAGGCGCGTAGATCTTCGAGATGATGAAGTTCTCAAACCACTCGCCCCTCCTATAAGCTCGGAGGATTGTCCGCCGCCTGTAGAAGACGGCGTTCCGGCTCACGACAGCTCAGGCCCAAGCACAAGGAGCTACCTGAGTACAAGAGTCAGGGTGCGCCACACGGGCACACTACGGGAGAGGTTGATAGACATGGGTGACCCCAGTGCAAACATTCACAAAGTATTCGATCATCTGGAAGATGATGATAGCGTGTGGAGGACCATGTCGAAGGATTTCTAGACAATCTATCAAAATAAATAAATACTCAATATTAACAGAAAGAAGAAGAGAACTTCGATAATATCTTTATTGTAAAAGGCATTATGGCAATCATGCGGAGTGCGCAAAACTGCTTGCGTGTTCCAATATTTACTCGGCACAGTATGTACACATGAACATCGCTTTACTAGTAATATTGCTTTTCTACTCAGGTATTATGATAGTACTGGAAAATATTTTGAGTGGTGAGAACTGTTTGTGTGTAGTATGAGTACTGACAACCTGACAACCTGTATGTATTTGTGTGTTTGTGTGTGCTGTAGGAGCAATAGTAGTATGGTTGTATTTGTGTGTTTGTGTGTGTTATATGGACGACATGGATAGGAATGAATCTGTGCGTTTGTATGTGTGTGGGGTATGAGTATTGCCAATATGGTTGTATTTATGTGTCTGTGCGTGTTATTTGAGTGATGAGGATATGAATGTACCTGTGCGTGTGCAGTATGATTGATGATAATATGGTTATATATCTAGTTGTGTATTTTATATGGGTGGTGAAAATATGAATAGATCTGTGCGTTTATGTGAGTGTATGAGTAATGACAATATGGTTGTATTCGTGTGTTTGTGTATGTCATATGAACGGTAAAATATGAATGTATCTGTGTGTTTGTGTTTGAGTTGTATGAGAGTGAGAATACGGTTGTGTTTGCGTTGCGAGGTATGATTGTGCGTGTGTGTGTCTTGTATAAGTGGTGAAGGGTGTGTATGTACTTTATGATTGTGCGTGTGTGTGTTTTATATAAGTGGTGAAGGGTGTGTATGTACTTGTGTTGGCATGAGCAATTGTCAAGTGTGCGAGTGGGATAGTTGGTTGAGTGGTTAGCAGGTACGTGTTGTGTTTATTTATGTTGTATGAGTGCTTGGGTTCTAGAGTAGTCGTTGGTGTATTGATAATATCTATAAGTTCTGATCTCATACTCTAATTATACACTGCACCATTCGCTGGCAGTCTGATCATTGGCTTAAGTCTACGAGGCCAAGAAAGGAGTACACGGCAGGATAACAAGGCTAAAACCCTCAAAGTTCGAAGTGAGGACTTTTGAAATACGCCTCTTCGGCTCAAATATGGTTCAAATTGGTAGACACATACATACACATACG